ATTGCTGCACGATGTTCCTCGGGAAAAATCACTCCCTTGCAAGATTCCAACGAGGCCCTAGAAACGTCACACGTTGGCGTGACTCAGAGACAGTTCCTCGATGGAGTGCAATGGATAGTTGCAGTTTAATTAGGCCTCGAACGGAAGCCTCATACGATTCTCTCTATTCGAAAAGTGAAAAATGTGAGAATATTTGTGAGATGAAATCATCGAAGGTCTAGGGACAGGCATGATCGCGCTTCGAGTGAGGACAGTGTGGGCAGCAATTGCATGTGAATACTGTAAGGAGAGGAGCTACGGCCAAGGCTGATCAAATGACTGCGCCGTTCAGCTTTTCTTATGCTTTCTCGCTGCATTTGTTCAGTTTCACGCTCGTACAAACAGCAAACCTTTACGCTAAATGTTTCCAAAGGCTCATAGTTGAATAATCTTTCACTTGCAGAAAAGTGAATCGGGCCTCCAGAATCGAGATGATAGATGCCGGCACTTTGACAAGAGCGTGACTCGTTGCGGAACGAATGAGCATCTGTTGGCGGAATACCTCCGTAGCAGCACAGTCACGTATGTAGCAAAGGTGATGATCCACAAGGTAGCACTATCGATGGTCGACTGAATTCAGAGCGATATCTACGTGAGAAACTGCGGAGAACCGTATGATGCTCACAGGCTTCAGTGCAGTGTTGGACAATGGAAGAAGCGAAACGGAAGAGTACACCCACAGGAAAAAAAGTGCAGTGCATAGCCAATTGATTGAATGCTGTGTGGCAGAAACCTATGGACACAGTTGAAGACAATTGCCATACAATATTGAAAACTTCGCCTGCTTTCTGTTGGAAATGATCAGCGAGACCCTCGCGTACAATTAGGTTGGAAAGAAGTCCTGCGACACTTTGACCAATTTTTGGGACTAAATTTTCAGTCACTAAAAAACATCTCCAATTCTGCAAGGTGATCACCATTAAGGACTAGGACTAGTGCCCACCTTTCTCACAGATTTTCGATTCCACTCTTGTAGACCTACGGCAACTGCGTTCAGAAAAAGGGTAGACCTTGTTTTCACGTAGACGTCGATTTTCGGGATTTTGCTTTCTAAAGGATGTGATAGGGATCGACAGAGGTGGTAATTAGAAGCCCCTATCTTTAGTAAATAAGCATTGTGTGGTCGCTTTCCTTGATCGAAATCCATAACTTCTTGGCTTAGCCTCATCTCCCCATGAGAACTTTGCATTGCCGAGGAGTGAATAAAAGCTAAGTGCTTCTGGAAATTTAGGCGTGACGTCATCCATGTTTGATGTTAATTAGTGGAGACTGTGGCCGAAACTGCTGTGCCAAACCCAGCAACAGCGTTTCGAAGTCCCACCAATAACACAGTGAAATTTGGCTAAGCAATCTACTTTTCTCCTTGAGAGATCCAGTGAGGGATGTGTGCATAGTTCACGCAAGGAAATAACACTTGCTATTATCCACAAGATCTCGCAAAAGTTCCTTCATTGCGTACAAGGGGAAGTCATGGCCATTCGGTGCGCTTTGTCAGGCTGCTGCAACTCATGTGCCATCCTTCACAGGAAATTTTCCGATAACCGAGATTGCGGAGAAGCATGGCAGTTGTCAGTTAGGTGGAGCCTAGAGAGGTTGCCAACTTACTGGTGGTTACGTTCGGCTGCGCCTCAAGAAGCTTGAGTAAAGGGCCGTCATTCTGTGCTGGTGGCCGACCTATACATTGCCTACCTCCGAGTTAAATAAGTCCAGCTTGGAAGCGCTGATGCAAGCTACCCTCTGCCATGGCAAGCGATATCCTTCCTCAAGACAACGTAAGTGTTAGCTTCCTCGACTACGGCGGAGTGG